GGGCGCGACGCGCTGCCGCCCGCGGGAACCCTGTGAGCGCCACGAAGAGCCGCGGCCGCCGAGCCGGGGCGAGGAGGGCTCGGGAGACGGGGGCGATTCCTCCCCATCCTGCTCCTCCTCCTTCCTTTTCTTTCTGCCTCTCTTTTTTCTTTTTTTTTTCTTACGACTTTTAACTACTTTATAAGACGCGCATAAAGGTTTTGTACATTTGTATATAAAAAACTCGTTTTTATTTATTGGAATAAACGGCCGCACCTTTGTGTTGCAGTAGCTGCCGCTATGCACGCATCCAGCTCTCCAGCCCTCCATCCACCATCCCTCCATCCCTCCACCCATCCACCCCATATCCACCCGCCGCACGGGGCGCGGGAGCACGCGGCCGCCAGAGGACAATAGGCGCGAACAATGGGGCGCGAGCGGGCGGGAACAATGGGGCGCGCTGCCTGGGAGCGCGCGGGGGGGTGTCCGGATATCCAAAGGGAGAGGGGGCCGGATACGCCCCGCTGAATCCCGCGCGGGGCCTCGGCGCCACCCGAGCTCTGCGCGTGGAGGCTGTGGCGCCCAAGGAGCGTCCTGGGGACGCGCTCCCGGCGCCGCTCCCGGGCTACCCCACTGAATTCCCCAAGGGAATGAGGGCAGCTAGTGAGTACCGGCTACGGGGCGGCAACCGTTTTGCAAATAAAGGGATTTGTGAGCCTGTAGGGCCGCGTTACACCGGATTTATCGAGCAGAGTAAAGCGCGATTTAGGCTACAGACTGGGAGCGACGCGTTTCGTTCAGATGTGAACTGTCCGCCCTGGCGGATGTTCCCGCGGGCTGCTCCACTAGATTCTGCGGCATGTGTGTTCACGGCGACTTTGGGTACCACCATAACGTGTTACGTTTTGTACGCTCATTTTGCTCCAAGTCGGATTAAACGTTTTTCTTAACCTCAGAAATGACAAAACAGATGCTTTGGGAAAAAAAAAAAAAGCTAAATGACGTGATGCAGCCACTAAAAAAATAATGAACCCATCTAACACTGATGTAAAGCACCCGTGTTCAAATCCTGGTGCTTGAACTGTAGCTGAGCTTGTGTTTTGGGGGAGACGTTGTTTTATAAACGAGCAGCTTTGACTCCCATGTGTCAAGTTATACCCAATATAATCCGTATTTCCGATTGCAAAGAAAAGAGATTCACTTGTTAAAGGATGAAGTGTTAAAAAAGTTTACTACAAGCTGCTTTGTCCAGAGTCTGAAGCACAGCAGAAAATTCAATAAATATGAATGAACAAGAGCAGCAAAACCAGTTAGTAGCAGGAGTATTGGCAAGAAATTAAAGGGGACAGCCAATTTTGACAATAAAGGAGACTAGAAGAGCTTATTTGAAAGCTTGAGAAGTGCATGGGTAGATTTTTTTTCTAAAGGATTAGTTTGAACAAAGATACTCCAAAATCATGCAGCTAAGATCTTTTGTACTGGATAGTTCATTGTGCATAAAAACTGGAAACGGCCTGAAATGGGCCTTTAGATTTTGCACTGGATATTAGGCAGCACCAAGCTCTTTAGAGTCACAGAGCTTACATCCCCTTCACTAAAACTTAACATCAAGATTTGTTGGTTTCAGAATTTACTTTCATCCTCTCTTTTAATGTCAAATGGTGTTGCTTGTATTCTGAACGTATCTAGACCATAAAGAGACCATAAACCTCACGTGACATTAAAAAGGACAGAAAACGTTATATACAACAATGACAGAAACAACAACAACAGCAACAACTTTCCTGAACTTTGGAACTTTGCATGTCACTTACCTCTAGGTAATATATATACATTTTTCAGTTAAAAATAAAACTGATTAATTCTTGTACCTCAAAACTGTAAATAAATTAAACGTAATAAGATGGGTTACTTATTAATGTCTGGAATAATAGATGTCTAAGCCCAATTGCTGGCTTTAAAAGACCAAAACATTTGTGAAGACTCTGGCAGTGCTGAAAACCCTCCATCTACCACACCGTGTTTTTGTTTTGTGGCATAGCTCCCACCACCTAAGCTCCATTATTTCAACTGTATGTCAAGAGAGATGGTGACACTAACTAATCGGGTCATTTTCTCACTGAAAAGACTGGGAGTCCTTTGAAGCACCAAGGACCAAAACTCTGATTCGACCACCACAAGGGCCTGACTCCAGGAGACTTCAAGACACAGTGTGGGATGAGAGGGCAGCCCCATGAGCCCGCGTGTGGTGGCTTCCCATTGCAGCACTGCCCCCCACCGCACACTGCGGTGTTTGGATCATCTGGAGTGTCCCCGGCCTCCCCTGTGTGAGAACACAGTGGTAGGGAAGCAGGAGCAGCAAACGAAGGGTGGTCCTGTGAAACAAGGCTCTGGGCTCCTGTGCTGCACCCCTGCGAGTGAAGGTCAAGGGAACTTTGCCATGGGCTCTGCAGAACCTGCCTGATCCTTTTCTAAGATGCTGTCCCACAGCGCTCTCAACTTAGGATTTCCGAAGCTGCCAAAAGCTCCTGTATGAGTATCCAAAAAAACTATTATTCTGTACTGATGAAGAGATTAAATGTGTTCAGGAGCACTTTTCAGATGCCATAGATGCATCTTGCCATAACAACCAGCAGTCTGGCCAGAATTGCTACATTTGCTTTTACAGGGTATTAGATATCCTCAGGGAGCCTTGTAAAGGGACTTGTGACTCCAACTCACAACACTTTCAGCTGCTGAAAGAGAATTATGAGCATCTGGAGCCATGGAATATTTAAAATAATCAATATTTACTTCAGGGTAGATGATAATTCCCCTTCCTCCACAGTATGATTTACAGTGAAGAAACATACTCTAGGCCTCTTGTCTATCAACTACCGTCCAAGGTACTGCTGTTTCTGAGCTAGCTTTGAGAAGCTAGACACAGGTTAACCCCATACTCCTCCCGCTGAACAACCCCATCTAGATTCAGCCTGGAATATGTGAGAAGACTCAGTGATGCACAATTTCCTAGTGCCAGCGATGAGAAAGAGTATGCCCTGAATCAGGGTAAAGTGCAAATTCCCTCCTCAGAGACATAGCTCACCAATAGTAAAATCCTACAATGTGATTTTAGCATCTAGCACTAAGTACAGCCAGTCCTGTAACTCACCCTAAAAGGAAAATGTGGAGGCCTGCTTCAAGGAGAGTAGGACAGGATGCCTCGTTACTAGATAACCAACCTCAAGGACACCAGTGCAAGTTTTCTTCAGCAAACAAGGAGAAAATTCTACTGTTCAACTGCTGCAGGACTGAGAAGCTGACTGGATAGTCTCAGTGTAAGCCTTTAGATTAGTGGTTTATTCAGTAACGATGCTTTGCATGCTTGTAGGCAAATCAGGTATTTTATCCGGGACAGTACAGTATATAAGTTTTATCTAATGCTCAATAAAAGGCTTCTGGTTCTTAACCTTGATCCCCTGCTCTTTAATGCTTCCACAGGAAAATATAATGCTATTGAATAAACCAAAATTTAAAAATTCAGTGTTGACGAGACTTTCTTTGGATGGTCGATGTTAAATGGATGGTCTATATTAAGCCCTTGTATAGACTAGCTAGAAATTTGTGAGTGAGGCAAGTAAAACCGTGTTTGGTACTTGAATGCACCTTTTGTATTCTGGAATGAACAAATATTAATAGTTTTTTAGAAAGAAAAAAAAACATATCACTTATAAGACTTTCATATATAGCATACCTTAAAGTCATTTTGAAAGTATTGTAGTTCGTCAGGATAAGAATTATGTTTTATTGTGTATTTATATTACATTTAATTAAAGGAAAATGAAGTAGAAAATGATAAAATTACAAAATTAGTATCTTCTCCAATTTGAAATTGCACATGCCTTACTGTACAGCTTTTATACTCTCTTGTGCTCTGCTTCATCCAAACACTCTTAAAGCCCCCATGGGCACTACTCCCCGTGAGCTGTAAAACAGCCTCATCTGCTCCTCAGCTGAGCCTAATGGATCCTAATGGATGGGTGGACGGACAGACAGATGGATGGATGGATGGACGGTAGTGGTAGGATTTGGCTGATCTTTTGCAAGTGGACTAGGAATGCAGTATCTTAATCAGCAACACTTTCGAACAGGGAGAGGGAAGGGCTGAGTTTATTTGTGTTTGTTTGTTTTCTGGGCTTAGAGATACTCTCTGTCTTCACGCTGCAGAAATACTCCAATGACCCAAGGGATGGTTTCACAGGGAGAGGAAGAGCCTTTGCGAAGCTCTTGCTCTGATGCTCTCTGAAGGAGGATTCAGCATTTCATGGCAGCCAATTACAGCAATATTTGAGATCCAGTTGACATCTGCAGAGCAGCCAAGGCTCAAGTGATGCTGATTTCCTATAATTTCTGCTAGCTTGGTCGGCATCAAAGCTAACGCTGTGCAGGAGGTTGCCTCCAAGACATGGGAAAGACACAGTTTTTCTTTTCACTTCAGTAAAAAATACCTGAGGCAATAGCCTTTCAACACAGCTGTGCTGGTAGTTTGTTACTTATAGATTCCCTCACCGCTTCTAAGCATATGGGGAAAACGTTGTGCTACTATATGAGTAACCTTAGGGGCAAGGCCGTCAAATGCATGTGGTGTGGAGTTATGAGCTTCAACGTGTAGAGTTCAGAGGAAAGCCCTTGCTACCCAGGAACAGCAACAGTAAGATGATGCCACAGGCAATAATCTGCTGATTTTACCCTGTCTCAACTTTAAGGAAAGGGATGTTAGTTTTTTTGGAAGCAGATTTTAAAAGCTGATTTTTTTTTCTTTGACAGTGTATGACAAAAAGTTGTGGAATAGCTTTAAGATTTTTCTTTAAGTGAAGATACCAAAAGCAGGCAGGGAGCTGCCGCCCCTGCCCGCGGACGCTGCCCCGCTCTTGGCGGCTGCCTCGCTTAGCGCGGAGCAACGCGGATTTCTCTAGTTTTAGTCATTTGCGTTGTTATTAAGTGTCCGCTCGGAGCGGTCGCTCTCCTGAGTGCGTCCCCAGCAGCCGACGAGGTAAGGGGGGGTCTTGAGGGGGAGCGAGGCGAGAGACAGCGTTTTTTTTTTCGACAAAGTAGTTGCCGAGTAAAAAAAATACACACGGGAACAGCGCTACGCGCCGGAAACCTCGGTATCTAAAATAATAAAAATAAATAAATAAAACAAAGTCAGGTACCGGTTGCTATTTGAATAAAAGTGAGAATAACGAAAGCAAAATCCCCAGGAAAGGAGACTACGCAAACAACAGAAGAGCCAAAGCAACCAAGGTTTTGC